ACCCCTCCCCTTGGGGAGCAGTGGGCTGCCATTGTGCGGCACCCGGGGAGCAGCGTGGGGTTAAGGGTCTTTCTCAGGGACCCGTAGTGGCAGTCTGTGGGAGTGGGGCTTGATTCGATAATCGACTTTCACAGGACATATTTGGACTGCTCAGAAAATGCAAATACTTTCATGACTGGTCAATTTGATGGATCAGAGTGCAGAAACATAAAATTTTCCTCTGTAAATATTTGAGAGGGAAAGTATTTTTGTTGAAATGGATTTTTAATGAGTTTTTGTGTTTTTTCTTGGGCTTTTCTGTAAACGAATAACAATGTTTGATTATGCTTTTTGCCCACTATATACAGGTGCACCTATTCTTTTAAATTGAATTTTTCTAATAAAAAAAGAAAATAAAAAACTCAGAACCTCTGGATTCCAAGCTCTATGCTCTAATAGACAAACAAACACTGTAAAAACATAACCTCCTTGCTGGAAGTAATAATGTCTGTTAGATATTAAAGCCTGTTTTAACTATAGAGTGAGATAAGATCAGAGAGTCTGACCTTAACCAGTGTCTCAGCTACATAAAGGTCCACCTGACGGCGGGGTGCCCAGAGCCCACGGACGCCGAGGCGCTGCGGACAGAACTGGCCGACCTCCAGCAGAAGTTCAACCTGCTGATGGAGGAGAACAAAGAGCTGAGGAGCAGGGTGAGAAGCTCAGGCGCTGATGTTTCCGCTTGAGTCCATCACAGAAAACATCTTGAACCTTCCCTCTCTTCTCATCTCACAGCTGCTGCAGTACGAGCCGTCGCCTGAGGAGGGAGCTGGACTCTAAATGGGCTTTGTGTCACTCAGTGGGAAAATAAACAAGAAAAGATCAAGCAGCCTCATTTTCTGTGTTTAGATTACATGTTTATTCCACAAAACTGGGTGGGCAGTGAAGACTGATGATTTGTGTTAAATAAGAACCAACTGCTGCTCCTGCATCAAAAACCTCAATATTTCCCTCCTTATCTAAAATATTGTACTTCAAAAACTCCATCAGATCCCTTAAAGAGCAGCAAGCTCCAAATAAAAAACGAAAAAAAAAAACAGACATGGTTATAATTCCTCATGGGTCAAGGTGGAGTTGTAGCATAAATTGAACCCTGGAAAATCCTCGTCTTTATTTGGAGTGAATACTGCTCCATAATTGTTGCAAACAGAGAACAAGATATTTAATGGAAATTTGAAGAAAAAAAAATGCAACTCAGGAATTAAACTTTGACAAACTTCTTAAAGAGTCATTTTGCTGTTTTCTTACATTACATTTTTTAAAATCTTTTTTCCATATTAAGTTTTTTTGACAAAATGTGTTCTTTGTACGGAAGAGGATTAGGGCCACTGAAAAAATAAAAAAAGTTAACTGATATTTACATTTTATTTCAGTTTAATATGGGAAAAAAGTCAGAATTCTGAGATTAAAGTCAGAATTCTGAGGAAAAAAGTCAAAATTCAAATTTTTTTTCCCCATGTTAAACTGAAATTAAATTTAAAAAACAGTAAACTTTCTTTTTTCCAGTGGCCCTAATCCTCTTCCGTATCTTTGACTACAACAGTAATGGAGTAAAGTTCAATCATTTTGTTCAACACCCATTATCCATTTTCTTTTTTAATGAAACACTGAGCAACTTTCGCCACTAGGGGCGCTAAAAAATAAACTATTAGGTTTAGTGCCCCCTGAAGGCCAATGGCAGCACTGCAGTGTCGCTACCTGAAACACTCTTCTTCCGTATTTTGGAATCTTCTAGAAGACCAGTTTGAATTAATAGATGGAGAACTCAAGCTCCGTCACACCTTGACGATTTAGATAGTTATGACTACGCTGAAACACGCTGTCACGTCGTATGCCAGCATATGCTCATATGTGGAGCATAAGTTACAGGTAATTTATCTGAAGGTTTGCCACTTCAAACCTTCTTTCTTTTCCTTTTTATTCTTTTTTTTTTGGCAGGCGGTAAACGGCAGCTAGGTTAAAACCTCGATCAAAGACATCTTTTTATGCAGACCGGTTGCATCGCTGCCCCCCTCAAGACCCTGGCTTGTTCATCATTTCATGGGCATCACGCTGCCGTGCGTTATGCAGAAGTTAGGCTGTGGTTGGACAGAAGTTATGGACTCGTTATGAATACTCAAAATTGACAAAAATACATAGAAAGTTCAGCGTCTGCCAGTGTTTTAGGAGATTCTGGGATGTCGGGCAGACGCTGGCTAAATTGGTAAGGTGGCTCAGGGCCCTACTAGTAAAGACAAGGCCACATTGAGTCCTTTAAATAAAACTCTGATCAGATCTGTTTAGTTGCTAACAACTTTGGGCCTAGTTAGCTCTCATATTCAATGGCAGCTCTGACTGCAGTCAAATGGTGCTCTGGGTCACATGACGCATTCAGTGACGAATTGGACCCTTTAAAAATTACATAGGAGAGTTTTTGAGAAAAACGGCCGGCTTGTGCTGAAAATTGACCTGAAAAATCACTTAATATAACTAGAATTGGGCTAATATTTGGGATAAAAGTTAGTTTTCTAAAGAAGGTTTAACGAATCAGATCCATCTCTAAGAATCCATTGTTAGTCTCTGATTATTTGTGTTTCATGTGTCTCGGTCTTAGATGATCTAGTTTAGAAAAAGCTTCAGTCCATCAGTTCATTACATCATCTCTTAAGGCCTAAAATATTGTCACATGTTTACCAGAAATTTGCACCAAACACCAGCAGTGTTTAGCCATGCTTTCCTACAGCACTTACACTACAAGAAGACAGAATGGCTTCTAGGGAAGAGATGTGGGGTGTAGATCAGGCTGCTGAAACTGAAAGTGACAGCTTGAATAACTGCAATGCTGCCTGAAACATTATTGATCACTGAGTTTGTTTTCCATGCCTTCACTGTCACTCAGCCTGTGTTCAGCTGAATCATTAAAGGTCAATGAGCTCTGAAAACTGACCTGACAACAGGATTGAATAAAGTCCCTGGGTTGTGATCTGAGGTCGCTTTAAAAATAGACCTTTGTCAGCCATCAAAACAGTAATATTAACGGTGATGTGCAGAAAATACACTTTGTTTAATCCTCTCCACACCTTTTCAAAGGTTCTTTGGCTTTTGTCATTCAGCCTGTCCAGTTATGGTATATATGGCCATTTCCACTGATTAACAGGGAGGTGCCTCAATATAAAAACAAACACCTTGAGGTGGTGATCTGAAAATGACAGGAAAAGCAGCCAAAGTCCAAACACAAACATTTAAAGACCCTAAGAAGACATGCAGTACAACTTAACAAGACCTCTGTAAATACTGTTTTTATTTGTACTAGTCATCTTCTTCTGCCAGCCCCGTCACTTTGTTTACCTTTTCTATAGGTAAAAAAAAAACTGCCTGAAAGGAAGTTTGCAGAGAGTCAGGCGAAGAAGACAGCCTTTAGACCTTTGAATTCACTTGACAGAGTCCAACTTTGGGAAGTGGATACGACAAAGGATAGTCTGATCAGGGCTTAGAGACGCAGAAAACATCAACAGGAGTTGAGGTTTATCACACTGCTAAGCAGAATCAACACTGGAAGCTGTCTGGCACGGTAGGGAAGCTAGTATTTTTATTCATGTCTGAAATTTCATGATTACGGAGGCCGTCATGTGCTCTTTGTTACCTTAGAACCGAGCCAGAACTGAACCGCACCAAGTCCTACTGATGAACTAGTACCATGTTAGCGCAGTTTGGTTGTGCCTGTCACGTCCGTTTCAGTTCTGCGTACCATTTACAGTCAACAGTTGGTTACCGTGCTCAACCGATCCTGGCACGGTTTCAAGAGGGTAGTGTAAATGGGGCTATAGTCTCCTCAGCGTGTCCTGGTTCGTCCCCTGGGCCTCCTGCTGGTGGGACAAGCCTGGAACACCTACTGAGGGAGGCGTCCAGGGAGGATCAAAAAACAAAATGTCCGAGCCACCTCAGCTGACTTCTCTCAATGAGGATGAGAAGTCAGTCTACTCTGCACCTCTCTTGAATGACTGCGCTTCTTATCTGGTCTCTAAGGGGGGGCCTAGCCACTCTGCAGAGAAAACTAATTAGAGCTGCTTTTATTTGGGATCTTGCTCTTTTGGTCATGATCCAGATGAGCTTTGACTCTTTGCTCAGTTCTTACTGTAGTATCCACATTATAGCAGCCGCTGCAATATTTTCTGCTCCATTTTCCCCTCAATTGTCAACAGTACTTTTGCATTTTCGGAAGAAAAATCAAAAGAGATGACTCAATCAGGATTTTTGTTCTGGTCTACCTACAAAGAGTCTGTTTTAAATTTGCAAGTCTGTTGGGGCACGTCTGCTACTCCCACTGCTTGCTGCTGAAACTCTCCTGTTCGGAGAGGAAGTGACAGGACTATTACTCTCCCTGCTTTGTCGAGACATTGAGCTCAGCTCCCCGACAGAGTCTGGGCTCTGGGACCTGCTCGGCCTTTTCGTGTCTGACTTGGAGACGATTCTGGCTCTGGGGCCGGCAACGCTGCTGCGTAGCTTCATGCTGCCGTTTCCGCGGTAGGAGTCTCCACTGTCTGAGCAGTTTCCCTCCACCACCGTTGAACAGTTCCATGGTGGACTGAGCCTTCGTATCTTCCTCGTCATGCCAGACAATGTGGTGGAGGATGAAGTGTCTGCCACAGGAAGAGTAGGGTACTCAGAGCTCCCACATTCCAGTTCATCATGGTGGGTTGAGGACAGCTCCTCTGGTTCATCTTCTTTGTCCACAGGAGGTGAGCGTGTCTCACTGCTTGTGTTGTTAGAGTTGCTGTTCTGCTCTGTGGGACTTGGCACTCCCTCTTTGGTGTCCTTGTGGCTGTCCGGCTTTGCGCCGAGATCCCCTTGTATAGGCACAAAGGCAGAGGAGGCGCTGAGTAGGGGGTAGTTGGGTCCATTGCCCTGTTTTTCCAGCAGTAATGTGTATCCACTGGGAGCAGTGGGAATTGTGCTCTTGCGTCCGACCGAAGTTCCAACGCAAACTTGATGGACAACAGAGTTCTTTTTGGACTTGTTCAGATAATAGTCATCCAGATCATCCTTGAGGTGGGGATAGTAGTTGAGAATACCTTTCTTGACCTTCTTGAACCCTAGATGCATTATCTCCAGCAGGCTAAGAAAGAGGGAGATGCAAGCGATGGCTTGCATGAACATCATGAAGATGGTTTTTTCCGTGGGTCTGGAGACAAAACAGTCCACCATGTTGGGACACGGGTCCCTCTCACACTTATACAGCGTGCTCAGGCGGTGTCCATAGAGGATGTACTGACCAGTCATGAAGCTCACCTCCACCACAGAGCGAGTAACAATGTGGGCTACATAGGTGCACAGCAGGGAGCCTCTCAGTGGGGCTTTGTTCAGCTTCCCCTGCTCCAGCTGCCTCATTTCCTTCTCGATCCTCCTCTTCACCTCCACCATCTCTGCATCAACGGCTTCCAGCTCCCGGCGCAGAGCCACCTTCTTGCAGTGGCGTTCCTTCTCCAGTGCACGCAGCTGATAGATGGCGTGGCCCATGTAGACCAGGGAGGGGGAGGACACAAAGATCACCTGGAGCACCCAGTAGCGGATCAGGGAGATGGGGAAAGCCTGGTCGTAGCAGACGTTTCGACAGCCAGGCTGCTCCGTGTTGCAGATGAAGTCGGACTGCTCATCGTTCCACACATCCTCGGCGGCCACACCTAGCACCAGCATCCGGAAAATAAACAGGATGGTCAACCAGATCTTGCCGACCATGGTGGAGTGGATATGCACCTCCTCCAAGATCCCCCCCAGGAAGTTCCAGTCTCCCATTTTTTACATTAGCAGGGCTAGAATCAGTGGAGAAACAAACACATTCAGAATAGTTAATACACAAAGATCTTGGGCCCATTGTGAGGATGTCAGAGATCTAGACTTTAGATTTACAGTAGATACTCATCCAGAGACATTTCTACATCAGTGTTTGATGCCATTTGCGGACACACTTAGAAACATACATTTGAATCATCGGGGTTGGAATCGCAAGGTGTTCCTTGGGCAGATAGGATACCTCAAGGAGTCGCAGTCTTATCCCAAAAAATGGACACCTTTCAAAGCGTATTATTAGCTAGCAAAAGAAGACATCCAGCATACATTTCGTAACCACCTCAAGCAACTTCCCTCTATGCTAAAGAGCAGCTTAACCCCAAAATCCACTTATTTGATGAAGCTTAATTTACAGCAGTAGCCATTCAAAATTTACCAACTTTCCATGGCCCTTGGCTGGTCCCCTACAATTCCTTTTTAAACATCAAGCTTTGTCCTAAAATATTCTCTCTCTCATGATTCGTGGACATAAAGATATAAAGAGAAGCGTCATCTCTTGGTCAGACCCTGTAATTCAGTGAAAGGGTGGAGCCACCGCCCAGGAGGTCAGTGGCTGGAAGTTGGAGGGGATTTTTCTGGGAGTCGCAGGGGAGTAGGCTGCCATTCGGCTGCCATTCGGCTGGCAAGGGCCATTTTGAATTGCTACTACTACAAGACTACAGCAGATACGGCCATATACATTCCACATGTTCTACTCAGCAGTATGTGCTACACATGCTACGGTCATTTGTAGGAACTGCTGCCAGAGTAATATAATGTAAATGCAATGGCTGAAAGCTGAATGAAACCAGGGTTAAACCTTGAATTCGAGTTTTTAGGATGCCAGGAATCAACTCTGCCATCAGCCTCATGCTACGTTCACACCAGACGCAGAAGGAGCAGCAAAATCGCGTCTGCTGCTTCATTTTTGCTGCTTGTACCAGTTTAGTTCTGACGCGCGGCTGAAGCAGCTTTGCTGCTCGGGCTGCACGGTGCAAAAGTGTGTCTGACACCTGTTGGGCGGAGCTACCCTATCCTTTCTTTGCCTTGCAGCTATATTTGCTGTGATCAGTGGGAAAGTAGTTTTATTATGTTTTTAAGTGAGAAAGTCCACCTGAAAACTTAATCAGTGCAGTCAGTTCATCCAGATTATCATCTTGCCTTCCAATATTATTTCAGTCGGAGGCGCTCAGACCCCCACATACCAGCGGTGAGCCGACAGTAGGAATCCCATTCAACAGCAGCCTCTGGCTGGGTCGCCTCCTCGCGGTTCGCCGCAGCGGCTGGTAGGTGTTTTTCATCTAAATAATCCAAACTGCAGGCTCCGGGATAATAAAAGCGTACATATTCTGCCGGCAGGTTTTAGCATTTTAAGCTAATTTAGGCATCAATAAACTGTTTCAGAGGAGTAATCACAGCGCTCTGTATCATCAGCGATGTGTCTGTCTAGCTGCCAGCTCCCAGATCAGCTTCTCTGATTGGTTGATGCGGCGCGTCGAGCAGCAAAAGTAAATTTTTCCATTTCGAGCAGCATTTGCGGCGTGTCAGATGCTTAAACGCTCCCGACGCGCTGCGTCTGCTGCTCAAAACGCGCTGCGGGACCTTTTGCTGCGCCTTGACGCACGTCAACCATTGACTTTGCATGTAAACTCGCTGCGCCTGCTGCGTCCGGTGTGAACGTAGCATCAGTCTGCATGGCCACCCGAAAGGTGCAAGACTGTTACATCACAGTTTAGGAGTCATCTTCTGTAGCGGGTATGATGTCTTATCCAATTTCTTCAGGGGTTCTTTTTTTTGTGATTACACTGTCACAGGTACAGTGCAACAAAATTCACTGCATTTAAGCAATCCCCTTAGGGAGCAGTGGGCTGCCATTGTGCAGCAGCCGGGGAGCAGTGTGGGGTTAAGGGTCTTGCAGAGAGCCAGAGTGGCAGTCTGTGGGAGTGGGTTTCAAACTCACAACCTCAGGATTTCAAGCTCTTAACTCTAGGCCGTGATATGCTCTAACCACTAGTAGAGATATAGTGAATTGGCCTATCAGAACCTTACAAAGCCATGACATCATCACCTGGGGTTTTGCTAAACTATTTAAAGGCACATTTATCTTAGAGGATCAACAAGTCTGACTATAAAGAAAATTACAAATTCCCTTTGAGTCTTGTAACAGATGTTTTTTAATTATCGAAGGTTAAACTTTTTTTTTTAGCACAGAATATGTATTATTAAATTCAGCTTTTTATAGGTTTTGAATAAAAAAAAACATGTATTGATGGGTAGGAATACTACAAACTGAGTAGATCAAGCCTGCCTCGGTTCCTCCAATATTTATAGAAATATTGTAGAAAAATAATAATATATCTTAGGAACTCAAATCTTCAGATAGCAGATTGGTGACAGACCTGAACACAACATTTTAGTTGTGGAAAATGCAAAAATGGTTGAATAAATCCATTATATTTGCAAATAGTTAAGTGAGCTGCCATTCAGCTTTAATTAAAGTATTAAAATCCCTAATGAATAAAACTATTCTTTAAAGCTTTGGTTTCATTTGGTAACTTTAGATTAAATAATCCTTCAAACTGATCCTTTCAGTTCTGCCTACTCTGAACTGTTGTTTCACCAAAACAATCGATGCTGTGATGTCGCTCTGTGTTGATTGATATGCAGAAACACTAAAGCTTTAAATAGATGTAGGATATTAAGCTCAAATAATAATATAATCTAATAAACAATAAATGTTGGAGCGGGAATCTAATAAGATGTCTACAGATGTTGAAGTAAACAGTTTAATACAGAGGTAGAAATACAACATTAAGGAAAAAAGAAGAACAAAAGCATAAAGGAGATGAACAGTAACTCTTTGACTGAAATGATGCATCAAAGAAAAAACAGATTATTTCATGATTTAAAACAGGAAATGGTCCCACTTAATTCCAGCAAACTATTTTAAATGGAAAAATGTTAAACATTATTAAAAGCTTACCTTCCATCCTGGATAGAACAAATAAAATAAATCTGCTGACGTCCTACGAGTTCATCTCTGATTCTCCCAGAGAGGCATCAGACCGTCTGCATGTTCAGAACTGGACTAAAACAAACCGATCCCCGTCGGCTCTGGTTGTTCTGGACCCGATCGATCCGTGCTGCGGCCCTGCAGCTGTGTCAGACAACATCCTGCCAGTCACCAGAGGTGAAACTAGCAGCCAGCTCTGAACCCAGAAGACCCGAACCGGTTTGATTTGTCTGAGACGATCAGACGGGGGAGAGTCGACATCATGGGTGGAAAACGGGGACCTAAAAGAACCTCTGACCTGGATTATGATCCAAAATCATGGATGAACATCTGTACATCCCCTCCCTTCCTGCTAAAAGCTTTAAACGGATTCCTGTCATTTGTTCATTGGATCTTTCAGTTCATCAGAGATTGTTGCCATATTTTAGGGGAAATCTTTAGTTGAAATAAAAAAAAAGTGATTTTTCTATATTCTGAGAGCATCAGGTCAGATCGATCCAGGGTGAAGCTACACATCTGGTTCTGAGCGTTTGCATCAACCCAGAATATTTCAGCCTCATTTTACAGTTTTTACACAGGAAAAAATTGAAGTCTAGATTAGTCATTTGTTCTTAAAATAAGTGCATTTATTTTTTAATTGAGGGGATAAGAGACATTTTGCCAATGGAACAAGACAATTTACATTTTAAAATAAGAAAACACAAGTGCATTGTCTTATTTTAAGTGCATTTTTATCTAAATATCTTATTTTATGAGTAAAAATACTCATTCCATTGGCAAATAATCTCCTTTACCTACTCAAATTAAGGATAAATACACTTTTTTTGCAGTTTAGTCTTCCAGTTGTTTTCCCTCTTTAATTAATCCAGTATTCTTAACACCTAAAGATTCAGTTTTTCTCCAACAATCCCTTTTAAACGGGTTCTCAGGTCTCCAGCAGCACAGACTCATCGTCCCATTTCTAGTTTCTAAATTCTATCCTCTAGTGCAGGGGTCTGAAACCTTTCATATCCAAAGAGCAATAGCCTCAAAATATTACATTAACCTTTACATTTACAATTACAGATATTCAAGGCTGCTTCAAATTCTTTCATTTTCAACTTAAAAACATTTAATTTCCTTTGTAAAAAAAAATTCCACGCACAAGGAGCTGCGTAGCTAAAGGCTTTCTTCCCTAAATCTGTGCGTTGGAAGGAACAAATCTTAAAAAACAGTTGATTTACTTTTTTTTTTTTTAGCTTAAAACGATGAAAAGCTAAATGATTTATAAAGGTGAAGCATGAATTTTCTTCTATAGGGTATGATGAAACATATCTCCAAGCTAATTAAAGAATAGAACTATAAACATATTTTCTGATGCTTTTAATGTCACTCTGTTGTGAAAATTCAATTTCTATATTCTTTATACAAACTATTAAAATGTTCCAGGAATGGTATTTATTATAGTGTATTATTTAGTTTAAAATATCTTTTTTCCCCATTATTAAGAGCCATTGTAGAGGGTCTAAAGAGCCCCAGGTTGCAGACCCCAGATCAGCTGGATGCTGTACAGACTGAGCTGGCAGCTTTGATTTGATGCATATTTGATCTTCCTCCAGAGAACCAGTGATTTAATTCTGATTATATAAAGAAAAAAAGTTGATGACTCTCTTCTGTTGCCATTTCTTGTATAACACCAGGAGAATGTCTAAAGTTGCAGACCTGGATACACCTGCAGCTAAGGACCTTTGCTCCACCCTCTGGTTATCCTCACTGTTTGTGTGCTTTTTATTTACATTCTTCCTTCCACCCAACTTTCTATAGTTTTCTTTATGTGTAAGATCAATTCCGCATAGGTTAGACTTTCTTAAGATATTGAACCTTTTCATGATTAATGTTCAGTCTTCAGCATAAGCCTGTTGCTGTGAAGTGATGAAGTTTAATTTCAATCCGTGGATCAATGAGCCGCGTTCCATTTCACACATGGCCTCTCCTCTGCTGCCATTTTAATTCCAGCGCTTCCTCCAGGCGGCTGTTCCATTAACAGGAAATCAATGCAGCTGGCCGAGCTGTGAGGCTGCGGCGGTCCGTTTCCACAGAGATCCATCACAGAC